GAGACAGTGGTAGATGGGCCAATTGAGTTTATTGAACCCACACACTTGGACGAAGCCCATACAAGCCATGCACATTAATAAAGCCCACATCGCCTATAGCCTGAGACTTAAGCTATTATTCTACTTTATTTTGCTTGTTTATTTCCTATTAAAAAGGCATATAATCATTGGGGAAATCATGGGGTAAGGAGAAATCCTACTATTCTTCTTTCTTTGAGCATGAATGAAATAGTTGATCCCTAAACTTGTCTCTTTTCCTTTGGAGTGGTGAGCAATCTCCTTATAGCTTGAGGACGGTCTCGTGTCTCTTCTCGCTAGTGGGAGGAAAGTGGCACTAGATTCAATGTTCAATCCAACGTTCTAGTCATCTAGTGTTTTTTAATTCTACTATTTGTAAGATTTTGTTCTCTAGACTAGCCGAAGAGATCCTTTAGTTCTGTTGACTCACATTTTTCTGGGTTCTCTTGATTGTGCCTCAGAAGCCGCGAATAACAACCGTCACAAATAAAAGAAAGAAACAAGAAAAAAAAATTAGGATATTCATATAAACCGAAGCCACCCTTCCATGTTGTAGACTAGTTCTTGAAATGATAGCTTAGATAGGACAATCTCTATGATGTCGAAAGGATCTAGATTCTAAAATAACTTTGAACGGCCATAGTTGTTTCCAATAATGAATAGCCTTCATTTTTTATCTCATCATTTGTTAAGGCATCAAGACAAATAGCACTAATAGCCCGACCTTGTTCTGTAGTGGAACTGTGTTTTCTCTCGAGTTTGTATTGCTCAACCTGCAATATTTAGAATATTACTTAAGTATAAGAGTTGATATATAGCCATTTCATTGTCTAAAGTTTCCAAAATTAATCACTAAGGCTGTGTTCAGTTTGAAGGAAAAAGTAGGGAAAGGAAAGAAAAGGTAGAAAAACCTTTACAAACCATATAAGAATTCCCCTACCTTTTCCTTCAAACCAAACATAGCCTAAATGATTTATTTGCTCAATTTTTGTTGCTTGTTCTACAAAAAGATTTTCAAGGCCTCTCTCTCTATAGTTTCTATTGATGAAACCATTTTGATGTCCTTATTAGTAGAAAAGGAGTCATATTAAAATAGAATAAACAAGGAAAATGAGGATTCTGAAAATCTAAAAAAATGCTTATTAACTTGAGCAGGCATTTTAGTTGTCGATTGATCAATCTATACTTTCTCTACTAGCATGATCAACATATTAAAGTTATCTTGGATTTTTCTTGAACCATTAAAGTATCTTGATTTGTTTTGAATTTGATAGATGTTAATTTGAATAGCCATTAGAAATTATTCACTTGAATAATGAATAGTTGAATACTTGAATCATAAAAGTTGGAATTTGGAAATTTTATCTTTGTAGATAACTTGATATCATATAATTTACTTTCAGACGTATGATTCATTAAGAGACAGTAAAGTTGTTTACTGTTGACATTTGGTTAATGGTGAAAGGATTTCATATTATATTATAATATTATATAATCCGAAGAGTTTTATTTTAGCAATTGTATTACGTTAAACATCTATTTTAACAATTTTATCATGAAATAGCCTTGGCTTCTCTCTTTGTATGCATATGAATTTTATTTGGTTCTTGTATTATTTATTTTTATTCATTTGTAAATTGTATAGGTTGAATATGTCATAACAAGTTAGCTCCCAACATTCTATACAAAGTGATAATTCCATTCCATTAACCCCAGTTGATAGCTCTAGACCAAATGCACCAGATGCAAGCTCAAATCCATCCATATAAAAGGAGACGATGGAATATGGAACCATTCTTTCTTTGATCATTTCTTGAACTCCTCCCACTCATAATATATATATAATGGGCATTAAGAGGCTTCTAAGATTGCAGCTGTTTTTAATAACTCCTTTGCTGGTGGCATTTGGATTGTGGTCCACTTTTCTTTAGCTCTTGTTATTAATTGATGACTAAGCATTAAAACTTTTCAATATTTAAAAAAACAAAAGGGTAATTTTAAATTGAGGCATTTTGTTTTCTTTTTTATCATAATTTGTTTATGTGGTGGTTAATTCATTTATGTATTTTTTCTAGTATAAGAATTATAGTTTTATTTTTTTTTAACATGATAAATATAGCCTTATACTGTTACATGGTATGACTAAAATTTTAGTATTTATATATGTCATCCTATTTGAATTTAGGTTTTTTAGGAAAATGAGGTATTATGATTCCTGAGCTTCATGCTTTGATACTTGTCTCTAATGCCTCTAAATGTCCATACGATGTATTCTAACCTTTCCTACACAGGAGAGGATTTTACATTTTACCCTAAAATTTAAATGAGCACGAGAAAGGTGCAAACAACAAAAGGAAAGACATTAAGCTTCTGCAGTCTTCAATGACATGGCCCATGCAACAAGGTAGTGTGGAATTTGCCAATAGTAGCTTAACAAAAAAGGGGGAATCACTTTCAAACAAACAAGTTTATGGGCAAAGAGAAGAACATAGAATACATCAAGTGCCTTTGCCTCCTCGCTGACACAACAGGTACACATACAGCTCTTCCATATATGAAACGCGAGTTCACTTTGGCTGTTTTAAGATCCTCTGCACATGACATTTGGCTAATTCAGGTCCTTATTTATCGTTTCAGCTAAAAAAAAATTTGAGTGTAAAATTCCCACACTCATGACTAGACCTGTTCATGGGCCGGGTGGCCCGACAGGCCGGCCCGGCCTGGCCCGACTCCCGGACGGGCTTGAACAGGATTTTTGGCCCGCGGGCTTAACCTCGGGCCAAAAAGCCCGGCCC